CTGGCGCTTATTTCTGGTTTCTTATTGACAAAACCACTCAACTCTTGGTGGCTCTTAATGGAGGGTCAAATGTAACAAATTTTCACAGAGTGGCTCTTAATTGAGGGTGGCGCTTATTTGCGGGTTTTTACGGTACCATACTTCCCAGATCATGTAAAATCAGGGAAAATTAGGGGATGGGCTTGTACTCCAGGACCACCTCAGAAAAGATAATTTGGGGGGGGGGGGGGTAAAATTGTAACCATCTTTCCACCAACGAAAAATTATCCAAATTACATTTTTCGCTCACAGCACCGGGAGAAATATTACATCTTTTTGTGGGGAAAATGTTAAACGATAGTCATTGATTTCTACGACACTTAACAATAAAGAAACAAAAATGAGTAGGGTCTGTGGTAAAACAGTTGAAGGCAAGTTCTTTATCATTAACTTTGTTGTGGAATGTTTTCGATCATACGCAAACTCTCGGTACAAAGCAATTTCCGCCATAATGTTTTTAGTACCTGTTCGGACAAAGTCCGAAAACAGGGACTTATAATTCGGTCTCCGTCTGTGCGTCCGTTCGCAGTCATATCTCAGAATCCCTTGGACCAATTCCATTCATTCTTTGCATGTGCCTAGTACTTTATGTGGGACATATGCACATGCAGTGGTTCAGTGATTCGATTCAAAATGGCCGACTTGCAGCCATCTTGTTTTTTGAAAATGTTGTATTTTGGACATGCTTTGCCAGTTTTCATTCAAACTTGGTACATAGATTATACATGTTAGGCTACATGTCCATGATGATTTATTTCGCAATTGGATCAAAGATGGCCGACTGGCAGCCATCTTGTTTTGTTTTTTTATGCGGTATCTTGGACGTGCTCTGTCAGTTTTCATTCAAATTTGGCACATACATGTACTTTATACGTGTTAGAATGCATGTCCATGACAATTTGTTTCAAAATCTGGTCAAGGATGGCCTATTGACAGCCATCTGACTTTTTATTTTTTGCCATATTACTACTACATGGAACACGTGTTTTGATGTAAATAAACAATCTGTTGTATACGCCACTTGGAACTCAAGTTACAAGGACATGCTCGCGACAACCCCTCCGCTTTAATATGACTAGCACAAAGAGAACTTTCAAAAATTTAACGGGGACTGGGTCATTTTCAATGACTTGTTCATAATGATTTGACCTGACTCGATAGGTCATGTCTTTTGTTAACCAATTAAAATGCTGTGTCGTACAGACAAAGTTGTCTGTTTTTTGACAAGGTAATTTTTTCAACGCAATGCGGAAGTGAATTACTGTGATATGTTTAACACTGATTTTGACAAAAACCGTGATTTTTCCCCTAAAAGCTGTTGATTCACAATTTTCGAAAGGTAAACTGAGGATGGAGGAAGTATTTAAACCTTTTACCGTTGCAAATAAGTCATGTCACTCGTTCACAACCCCATTCACGATAGTCTCAATGGACACGATTATTCGGAAAAGTAAAACTATGTTCTATGACCAGGTTTCATGACTTGACAATCATTTTTTTGGCGTTTCGAAAACTACTACTCAAAAGAAATATGGATTACTTCAGTAATGCAACATCCTGAGAAAATAACAGAATAGAAAAAATGCGAACATTCGACTGTCAGTTATTTTGTAATTTACGTGTGATTTTTATGAAATTTTGCTTGTCAAATGGAATTTTTTGTACCCGTGTAAAACGATAGATAGGTGGCTGGCTAAAAGCCTGCCTGCAACAATTCACTGAACAGTGCTTGGTATCAAGGAGCAATGGTTGTAATTTTTGCACTTTTTTTTTCAAATAGGGTTACCGCTACAAAATGAGATCAGTGTATGCTCATTTCCCCATCAACTGTAATATACAAGAAAAGAATACCCTGATAGAAATCCGAAACTTCTTGGGTGAGAAAGTTATCCGTCATGTTAGAATGCGACCAGGTGTTACTGTTGAGATGTCCACAAAAATGAAAGATGAAATTATCTTGGAAGGAAATGATATTGAATTGGTTTCAAATTCAGGTTGGTGACATTAAAATCTTCTGAAGTCAATTTTAATCCACACTTGTCTGTTTTGTATTATTATTAATTGATTGTTGTGCTATTTTATGGAAATTCCTTACATTGTTTTTATTTCATTGCCTTTGTAGCTGCCTTGATCCAGCAATCCACTACAGTCAAAAACAAGGATATCCGTAAATTTTTGGATGGCATTTATGTGTCCTCAAAGACAACAGTGGAAGAAGAGACACAGTAACAAGGGTTTAAAAATGGTCATTCATGTACGAATAAAAGATTGATTTGAGCCGTGATTGTTTGTGTTATATTCATAACTGCATTCCAACTTTTGTACACACTGTTGAACTTCCTGCAAGCATTACAAGGGCTTTGGATTTTGTACAGTTCATGGGAAATTGTATTCAACAGAATTGTGCAATTAATTTTAGAAGGCACTTCCAAAATAGTTGCCTTGCGCGATTACAACAATATTATATTTGGTTTTATGATTACACTCCACAGCTTCCATTGTACTCTGAATATTTTGGGATTTGTTCCAGACAACACATTTTATCAATTTCCATGGTGATCATAATTGGTGTTCTGCATACAATACAATAGTGGGAATGCACGAGTACTAACATTTTTCATCTGTCGCCTACATAAACCTGCATGGCACCATCCTTTGCAGCTGATAGACAATTATATACATTTGGTCCACAATTAAATTCTAAACAAGTGCACGAGTGTTGTGATGAGAAAAATTGTGTTCAAATCATAAGAATGTGTCTCATCCACCTGCCATGTATCAACCGGGCTTATATGCTTATCTCCTGGTGTGGATTTACAAGTAAGCTACATCCAAGTAGACTTTTGTGTGAATTATTGCAAAGATTGGAAAAATCTGTTAACTGGCCATATTGTAATACTGTGGAATACTTTATTTTCGCTTAAAAGGCTTTTTGGGAGTTTTGTATGGAATTTATTTTCACTGATTTTTGATGAGTTTAATGTGAAATATTGGAAAAAAGTATATTGGCTGGA